CTGCTAATCAAATAGAAAATGGATACTGACCATCATAGTCTAATATGACTCCAGGTTAGTTTTCTTTCTGGGACTAGACCCAGTCTGAAGGAAAAGAAAGATTCACTTGTGTACTCAAAGTCTTGGACAGCTAGTCTAAAACAGAGATTAGAATACTAGAGCATTTGTTTGTGTGCAGTACTGTTAAACACTGCTTGGAAGGATAAGGTATTATTAGCAATAGAATTTATAAATGGTCCTGAATCCACAGCATTAATTCCAAAGTATCTTAAATTGGCCTTTAGGTAATACATAAAATGAGCCTTTTCTGCAACTTAAGTTGCTTTGCAAACATTTCCCAATTTGACAAATAACAGCTTGAAAATGATGGATAAAGTTTAAATCCCAAGGATCACTTTTTTCCTTGTAATTTTTCATCAGATATAAAATTAAAGATAAATAAAGATGATTAGATATGAAATACAGGAAAAAAAATAAGTCTTTCCTTGAAATATCAAATCCTTTGTATATTGCAGATTCTCAACCACAAACAGTCCATATGCTATATAATCTGCTTGGGATAAAGCTGCACCTAGTAAATTTCTGAAATTCAGATATGTGACACTACTTTAATGATTATAAGTATTATCACAATTGGTTATTTTAATTATTTTATTTCCCATATACATTGGTTTGGCTTAAAATCAGAATTATTACTTTGGATTTGAAGTTTTAGAAATAAATCTACTTTCGTGTTAAATTTAAAAATAATAAGTGTGTGCATTTTTGTACTTACATATTTTAAGGTGCCAAAGAAGAGCTGCAAACTGTGAAGTAACTTCTATGAAGAGATGAAGTAAAGAATGGAAGGCAAATGACCGTCACAGTAAAGAAGTGTATGTGGTGAGTGCTTACATTTCTTTTAACATGTACCACAAAGTTATCAAAGGTAAAACTCTTTGACCTTAGGTATTTATAGCATAGAACTGTATAATAGTGTTAAAGAGTTAGATAACCATTAAATATTTTATGTTATAAGCAATATCAGGTTGTTTTGCTCACATCAATTTTCAGGGTCTACCTTCTAGGTATCTCTTCCAATTAGTTCATTTAATGGGAAGACATGTATATTTCTATACTGTAGCTGTAAAAAAAAAGATTAAAATGTTTAATGCTATGAAATTTGTATCTTACTGTTTTTAGAATTTTCTGAACTTCCATGTTCAATTATGTTTGTGTTGAAAGTATTCGGGCTGAAGAACAAATACTATACAGTTGAATAATCTTGAAGGGTAGATTAATCTATAGCCTTTCTTCATCTCAGGGTGGGTTGCTGTGGCAACCGCCCCAGCTCACTTTAAAATAATTTTTTAAAGCTCACTTCAAGAGCTACACCCAGCGTGGGCCAGGCTTAAAAGCAGGCAGACCCAGTGCACAGGGCTTTAGTGGACTGCTGCTTTAATGTAGGGAAGTAGTGAAGAGAAGAGGGTGGAGTAAGACAGTGTGTAGCTGAACAGAAATTGAAATATGAGCTTTCCCTAAAGTTAAAATTCCAAGGATCACGCTCCTTCTCTGTAACTTCTTTAGCACTTTAATTAAATATATGGCCAAACATAATTCTTTTGGGGAAAAATAAGTTAATGCATATTTACATTTAAAATAAAACACTTAAAGTGCTTGGCCTAGCATGTGTGAGGCCTTTGGTTCAATCTCCAGCACCAGGTAGAAAAAAAGAAAAAAGAAAAGAAAGCACTTAATGATAATTATTTAATGAAAGAAATATTTTGTAATTAGGCACCCCGACAAACACACACACACACACACACACACACACACACACACACACACACAAACACACAGGAGCTGATTTAATACATTGATCCCAGACACCATTTTTTCTTAAAAGAAAGTCACCTTTTATTTAAACTGGATAGACCCCTAGCTTCCAATTGGTTTCTATTTAAAGCATAGAACTGGAAGAGATGGGAGAACTCATTTCACACATAAGCAAACTGAAGCCTATAAAGGACACATCCAATAGTAACACACAAATCCTATACTAAATGGAGAATCCAGGACTCTGTAACACCTAGGATGAGCTCCTCCCTAGATGAGAAAACATTCTGATTTAGCCAAATACTATTAGGTGAGAAGGATCAGGGTGATTTTGCTAAAAAATAAATAATGTCCAGAGGTATTAAAAGAATACAAAGCACACTCTGGATTAACCACTTTGTGAATTACTCATGAATAATTTTAAATCTCAGGTGACTGCCTATTGTACATTTCTAGGTAACTGCTTCTGTTCTGCTTCAACTATAAAGGCTTATGGGAAGGAAACTAATGCTAATATTAACTTAGGTCACACATAATTAAGAAGTTAAAACTGCTGAGGGAAAAATCTTATATTTTAAAAGGCCAACTGTGATACATTCCAGATCCAAATTATTTTCAAATTATCCTCAGTGTGGGGTTGTGCATATTTTTGAATGCCTGTACTATCATTGATAATTATGGATTTGTTATAATGTTCATTATTAAATAATTCTTTAAAATGTGAAAAGGTAAAATAAAAGTGTCTTCTTAAAGAAAAATAGATCTAAACCTGAAGTGTACAATGGTAAACAGGAATATTCACTATCACCCATCAAAAATAACATGATTTAAATTCATGTATTGGCTGTGTCTATTTGCTCATGTAAAATAGGCTGTCACAATTCATGACATTAATTTCAAGCATTATGGCAATAAACTCTGATGGTTCTCATATGGTTTCTTTTGTCAGGACATTTGTGAAACTTGAAAAAATAATTTCCTTTTACCACCATATATTCAAGATGTCTGGGTACCCTGAAATTTTTTATTTTTTTTTACAAGTTGTACCTTGAATGAAAACCTGACTTAGATGCTCCTTGCCATATTATTAAAATGAACTCATAGCAGTAGCAGACTCGCCATATGAAAGTCACACAGGCAAGCAAAATATGTTATAGATTGCAATCTGCAGTATATGGTACTATTTCAGATAGTTTGCTTTGTGACAGTTTTCCAGGCTTTCTTGTAATAAAAGCGATGAATTCATCTTAGCTGTACTAATAGTTACAATGGTAATGAACCAGAAGCTTGAAGATTGTTTAGATCTAGTTGTACTTGCTTGTAAAATCAGTCTTCTCCTTTCACGTGAAGACTTGGGAGGGTGCCTAAATGTTGAGCCCACTCTTCTGAGAGAAGCTAATAACAACAAATAGCTCCTACAATGAAGCAGAAGGCTTTTTGAACCACATTGTCCTCATGCATTAAAACAGTCATCTGGAGGCATACTGAGGAACTTAACAGGAAATGCAACTAGTCATTGGACTAAACACACAGTGATGATAGGAATTTTTTTACAGTAAGGGAATATCTTTAATTAGTTAGATATTTCAGTATGCTACTATTATCTACTCTTGTGTAGTCAATGTTTTTATGTCCCCTATGAGTTTTCCCTTCTTCTTTCACAACATTAAAAAATAAAGATTGCTCTAAACATTTTATATAATCTGTAGTTCTGCTGGCATCCAATCTTGTCTTTTCATGATTTATATACCGGTTGATACATTTTATCTTTGCCTTTCTTGGGTGTGGTGTAATTGGCTAGGGCAGAGAGCAGCCAAATCTCTAGTAGCTTTTCCTAAACATTAACTATTATCCTATATTTTTGGTAAGGGAAATGTTTAATATGCTTTAACCTTAACATAAATATTCTTCCTTATCAGTCTCTATTTCTGCTTCCTGCGCTGCTGAAACTCTTCAGGATAAGTGAAGTCATCAGCCATCGTCGGGGTAGCCTAATGCATTTGGGAAGTTGGTTTGGTTTACATGTTAATGACCTGGATAAAGTCCAGTAAGGTGTGGAAGAAAGAGTGGGGGGAAGAGGGGAAAATCTCCGAGGAAGCTGCCGCCTCGGTAAATATTTCCAAACTGATTAGAAAGTTCATGGCCCGCGATAAAGTGGAGATTTTATAAACTGGTAATTCTTTAATTATTTCATGAAATCTTTCGGTTCACTTTTTAGCCCTTCCACTTCTCAGGGCCGAAAACCACGTATTCTGGGCATGCATAAAAGCACGCTGGAATCGAGTGCTGCAGATTCTAGACCGTGGTTTTTACGCGTGAGTAATAGAGGAGGAGCGCGTGGACCCGTGGAAGAATGAAGTAGCTAACGCGTATCTAAATGGGGGGAAAAGTCACAAGAACAACTATTAGGGTCGCGCTCCTATTGGTCAGAGGAAAGATCCCGACTTTAGAAGGACTTCCCTGCTGGCTGGCTCGCAGCGTCCCTGGGGAGTGAGCGCGCAGCAGCGGGAGACTCGGTTCTCTCTGAGCGTCCTATGCAGCCGCTCCGGGAGAGAAGCAGGGAGCCGCCGCTCACCGTGTTGTCTTCATTTCGTGCAATAAAGAATTGTCATTAGGTTTGCGTATGGCATGTGCCATTACCCCACCGTAAAACTAAAATTAGCAAAATGTCAGGAATGGAAAGATTGATTCACCAAGATGCAATTATCATTTAAAAGTGCTTGATTGAGGTACTGATGTTCAGTGATTTATTCTGCATACCATATACATAATTAAAGTAGTGTAGTGGAGTAATTTATCAATCTAGTTGAGACTGGAGGGGTGAGGAGGGAGCTGCTGTATGTTTGTTTTATTAAAATGCTCCGAGGTCTAGTCCCGCCCCCCTTTTGCAAGAGTGAAACTGATGATTTCTCCAGCTCGCGAGGAGAGAGTCAACGGTTTGGGATCGTGGGGGAGAGAGAAATGGGAGAGGAAAAGGCAGCGCGAAGCAAAGGCAAGAACAAAATAAAATAAAGGGGGGAAAAGGAAAGAAAACGGCACTTTCAGCGGACGTGCTGCTAAGAACCCCCAATCCTGTGTGCTCGGTTTACCCTGCCACCCCCGCCTCCCCTCCCAGTATCCTTCCATTTCCCTCGACACCCCCGCCCCCCCCTGCCTTTTTACGCGATGTTTCAAAGGCTGTGAGCTGCTCTCCTTTTCCCATTCGTCTTCTGTCACTTCCTTCCTGGACGCAGTTTTCTGGTCGAGTCCGGTTACTTTTAATCCGACCGGCAGCGGAGAGCCACTTTCTCCTCCTCCTCCTCCTCTTCCTCCGCCTTCCTCCTCCTCCTCCTCCTCCTCTTCCTCCTCCTCTTCCGAGCGGCCTTGGCGCGCGCGAATGCGCGACCCCGCGCGCGCCTCCCCCCGACGCGCGCTCCCTTCGCGCGCGCACACACGCACACATCGTCTCCAGCTCTCTGCTCTCTCTGCTCGCAGTCACAGACACTTGAGCACACGCGTACACCCAGACATCTTCGGGCTGCTATTGGATTGACTTTGAAGGTTCTGTGTGGGTCGCCGTGACTGCATGTTTGAATCAGGTGGAGAAGCACTTCAAGGCTGGACGAAGTAAAGATTATTGTTATTTTCTCTCTCTTTCTCTCTCTCTTAAGAAAGGAAAATATCCCAAGGACTAATCTGATCGGGTCTTCTTTCATGTAAGTACCTCTGACATTTCTTGAAAAAATAGAAATAGCCTGGGTATTGTCTCTGAATTTGGCATCAGTATATTCCATGGCTCGGGGTCTATCCCTGTGCCTTTTTTTGAAGGCTGAAGTTGAGACTGGTTGTGTATTCTTTTCGTTAGATTCCATGATTTCCTGTGTGCTGCTAAAAGTAACTTTTAAGATAGTCGTATCCGTTCGCCATCAGTTATTGAAATCATTCCTGACTCGTTCCTGTCACACCAATATGTTTAAAGTTTCATGAAGTTTGTTCACGTCATTAGCATGTTTGATATGGTGGAGAGTGTGGAGCCTGAAGGATTTTAATATTTCACAGAATGTTCTGTGACCTTGAAGTACATGCCTTAAGATTTAGCAGTTAGTTCACTGTGGAAAGATGTTCCCACGAGTCCCCCCAAAGACTCTGATTTGCCCTAGGTTATGCTTCTGAGCCACTAATTCTTGGGATTAGTTTAAGCTTCAGCATGGCTGTCTGACTGTCAGAGTCTACCTTTGTGCATCTCCTTCCCTCACTAAAGTGCTGGCTTGGTGGAGGGCTTCTTAATTGGTGTGGACAAAAAGTAATACCCTGGTCAAAGTAGTCTACACATTTCAAAATTTATGTTTAGATTTCAGCATCTACATTGCGTTTAAATGTATTAAATTAAATTCAAATACATAGATATTTAAAAACAAACAAGGTTAAGTCACTTCAGTTGCCTTCTGTCTGGACTTTGGATGAAAGTTACTAAACTCAGTGATAAAGTTGGGCACAAAGGAAGCCTATATAGACATGGCACATTTCTATATTATTACATATTATGCAAGTATTTCGATTAAGTGTTAATATTATTTCCTACCAAGAACATGGCTATTAATTCTTACAGGAAATTTTATATCTGAATCATTTCTGTCTATTGTAGGTCCAGTTCTTTGGAAAAAGCCTTTTTTCTTCACATTTTAGGAATGGATGTCTTTTTTATAAAATACCTTATATGTAAATGCTGAGAGTATAATAAGTAGAATTAGGCTTTCTGCCAGTTCTTTAACCAGTCCTCAGTGGAGAATTGCTTTGACACAAAGTGCATTTTACTATTGTGAATATGATACTAACTCTAATAGTATCTGTCTTATGAAATGCTTACTGACTGTGTGTATTTTCTAACTGCTATAGAAGAAACTCCAGTCACCTCATTATGCCAATCCAAAAAAAAAAAAAAAAAGTGACCAGACGCTTTTTTTCTCTGGCACCTTGCAATGGAATTGTGGTTGCAGAGTAAAGATGCTTATGTGGTCTATAATAACTCCAATGCCTAGAGACTTGGTAGGACATGGAAATGTGACCACCTGTAAACCCCATTTAACCTTGTATCACATACCAATTTTAGCCTTAAATAGATCAACAATCTCTAATATGAAACTAAAACACCTAATATAATTTCTAAAATAATGTCAGTTTTGATGAGTAAAATAAGATGTCCCTATCTAACATCCCATCTCAAGAGGGGCAAAAATAATCTTTTAAATCAATGACTGTATTTTTTCCGTATTTGTAGGAAAATACATGTATTAGCCTACTAACTCAATTTTAAAACTTTTCATCGAAACACATTTTAAATACAACATTTGTTTAACATTTAGTTTCCAGTCAGGTTAGAGAGACAATAGTTGGTGGTTATCTTTACTGAAGTTTTACTAAAATTCATAAAAATCCATTTTTATTAATTTAATTTACACAGCTTTAGAATATTTGTAATATTTTTCAGACTTCTTTCTAAAGAATTATACTTCATTCATTAATTATGCTGTTTACATCCTGAAAGCTATGCATGAGGAATATATTGAAAGATAATATTAAGGTGGAACTTTTATAAAACACTAATTTTGTTGATTATAGATTTAAAAACAAATGAACATATGATAAGTTAGTTTTCTATATTTCCTGAGTTAGTCATATTTTAAAGTGAAATCACAACATTAACTTTTCAGGATAGAAACACATTAACACTAAATAACTACATAAAACTTAAATCACAAGGACTTTTTGCACCTTGCTTCTATTTTTTGTAAGCAGGTTTAGTTTGCAAATTTGGGGGGTAATGATTTAGCCCAGTAGAGAAAGGGACTCTTTAATGATTCAAGATTGAATCCTGAAAAAGCATTATATTCTGTGTTTTTCAGGTATCTATTAATTTTTTTTCTTGGCCCTCACTTTACTGAATCAATAAGTTGCATAATACAACTCTATCTTTCTAAGAAATTATTTATGTATTTGAATTTCTTTTATAAACAACTGCACTGATTAATTCCTTGACATGTGTTAACCTTATCTTTTAAAACTTTGTTCTATTTATTATAGTGTTTTTTGTGGTTTTATTTCCCAACTCCATGTGCAGTATATTTTGAGTCTATGCAATCTCAGAAAGTGACCGAAATGGGGAAATATCCACGCAGCAGTACTTGTGCTACACAACAACAAAGAAATACTTATCAAACCAGAGAACCATGGTTTTTTGAATATGATTCAAAGCAACATGGAGGAATTTAATATTCAATTTAGGGTCACTATGTGGAATGTAAAGAGATTATTAATAAAGTTCTACTTGTTTTTCAAAAGTATATCTTCTAAGGAAATGCCTCCCAAACTAATATCTAAAGCTTATAAAAATGTACATATTCATTTTACGCACATATGGTAATGGTCTGGGCACAATGAAAGGCTTTTATCACTGATGTTCAGCTGCTAAGCTCTGTGTGGAAGGACAGGTGATTATGATCCCCATCTTCAGCACTGTATCTTAATCTCACGGGCTCATGGGCTTGTGGACTGTCCTGCACTCACTAAAGCTTGACTGTTGCACTGAGATCTGTCACCTTTAGGAAATCAAACCAGATTACAGAGGCAATTCACAAAACCAGGAGCAACAACAAAGTCTGTGTACCTTACAAAAGGTAGATTACACAGTTCACGTGTTATTTTGGTAGGTCAAAGATAAAAGCTGATTGTTGAAGAATGGCAAGATACTCCAATTTCAAATGATTGCTAGATAAGTATACTGCGACCCTGTTGCTTCATCATTATGAAGAGCCATTCAAGCCGTAGAAAACTCAGTTTTCAAATGATAGGCTTTCAATAGTACAGTCAAAGAAAACATCCTTTTTATTCATTGCTTAAATTTTAAGTTCTATGACTTTTCATGAACAGACTTAGAGTTGTCTGTTACATGAAGTGGTTATTGTGAGACTGAAATTCATTAAACATTTTTGGAGGAGGTGTTGAAAAAAAAAACAGAATTTGCCAGTAATAAAACACACTTATGGTATTGAGAAATTGAGGAGAAAATGCATAATTGTCAATATCTATTATATTCTCTGTTACCAAGTATATGCATCATCAAAATTTGTAAATACAGAACTATGAATTCATGCATCTGAAATATATCTAGACAAGTGTTTATTGATCAAGTTACATATATACATATGAATATACATATATATTTCATGAATGTCATATGAAGACCTTTCTTCACAAAAAATATGATGTTTTGAGGGTTTATTGCAGAAAATAAATTTTTGGTTTACATATTAACATTTTGAAAACCCAAACTTCTCACACATCCAACTCTTCAGTAATTTTTTGCTTCTTCTAAAATTGAAGTCCTTTTTTACCCAACTGATGCCTCCTAGTGTTTCACACAATAAAACACTAATGAGTCACCCATAAATGTAAACATTGCATTTTCATTGCCTACATCTTCTGTGATACATAAAATTAATATTTATGTGTTTAATTTTCTGTGCATTATTATAACAAGATAGGAAATTTTAGTGAATGAGATGTTTCATCTGTTTGGATTTGTGGCACACGCAGGTTTTCTTTGACCATAACAATATCTTACTAAGTTTTAATAAGTTTATTGCCTTTGGTTCAAATTTATATATTCCCTGTTTATATTCACTCTTATTCTAGTGAAAAATATAGACAAAATAGAAGAGCTTCCATTTTGTAGGCCCTGCAAACACATAGCTGAGTTGATCCTGCAATGCCCGATGAACAAATTGCAAAGGATCCAACCATTTATTTAAACACTAAACTGTCTTAAAAGAGATACTTTTTTTGTCTACTCTTCATAGTTACACTTGAAAATTTCTAATTTAAAGTTGAAAAAGAAGGTTTAGAAAAATCAAAAAGAAAGATAAATTTCTACAAATATGGAGTACATCACTTCATTAGAAAATAAGAACAGAAAGAAAAACTTGATGAGAGTATACAGTTCTACATAATGGAAGGAAGGCTTATTAGAAGATAATTTTTCATGACTTAAACAATTGCATTAATGAGATAGGAGTAAGTGGACACAAACTTTAGTGTGCGTTTTCTGCCCTGTACCTGTGATATTCTTGCACATCTGTAATTTCAGACAGCTCTCTAATTATACTTAGGAAGATGATTACTTTAGTTTCCAAATATTTTTACTTTAACATGCTTATTAAAGAGATTGGCCATTCCTCTAATGGGTCTTAAATTCAAAGGATGCACTCCAAAACTTGTAACATTCTTGGGCCTCTTCCTGAGTTGTCATACAACACACATGTGCACAAAAGCATTCATGACTTTCTTCCATTAACACTTAACAAATGTTCTAAGCATCCAAGCACAGACGCTAGACTGAAGTTAGACCATTGCTACTATTTATGTATGTGTCATTTAGTTATCCTGATTAAAAATGCATAGTATATTAATACTTGAACATCACTTAAAATTTTCTAATTTAGTCAATAATATAGTGCTATTACAATTCTATGCTTGTTGGACACATTTCAAAGAATGTAAGGGGGTGTGTTCCTTTCGTTCAAGGAAGCAAACATGTAGAAAGGGGTGGGCCTTTCCCACAAGAGCCACATTTCTTCCCTTAGAGAGTTGAAGCAAATATGCAGTACGTAAGAGAATAGCAGCATGAGAAAGAAAATAATTTGTAATGATCTATTATAGT